GGCAGAGATGGAGCCAAAGAAGAGCTGCCGTTTATCCCGCCACAGCCGGCTAGCACAAAGGGGTCGGGACCAATGTTCCCTCTAAGCTGTGAAGTCTTGTGAGCAAAAATTCTACCTTGTGAGCTACTGGCATTAAAGTTGTGAGTGAGTGATTTGGCTACTGCATAAATTAGTTTACTCTGTAGTCATCTCTCCTGAGCGAAGACAAGAATCTGTGAGCTGGAGGCTAAAAAACTGTGAGCTATCTCACACTAACTCAGCTTAGTGGGAACACTGGTCGGGACCTGCTTCGCTCAGTAAAAAAAGTCCTCCTTTGAGGTGGCAAAAATCCCGCCCCAAGGGGGGGGGGGAGAGAGAGCAGGGAAGTTGCAGCTCCCCCCCTTGTGTGGGCACTGAGTGTTGTTTTTTTAAGTGCAAAAAGTTCTCCCCCGCCTTCGCCCCCCCCCAGATTTCCCAATGTCCCACCAACCAGAATTTCCTGGCTACAGTCCTGACGCACAGAGATCTGTCTCTAGCATATGGCACTCGGAGGTACATTACACCTGAATGTGGAGGTTCTGCTGAGCAATCCTGATTTAACCTTCAATAGGTATACCTTCTCTGAGGGTATTTCGTCCCCTTTTCAAGGCATCGGAATTTGAATGGGAGACCACCAAGGAATTCCAGGGTCGCTCTGCAGAGGAAGGCAATGGCAAACCGTCTCTGACTGTCTCATGCCTTGAAGACTCCATGAATGGGCACCATGAGTTGGTTGCAACTTGGTGGCACTTGTCGGTGGGAGTCACTCGTGTCTTGCCGGCCCCTCTCTCTCTCTCTCTCTCTCTCTCTCTCTCTCTCTCTCTCTCTCACACACACACACACACGCAGCCTCACTATGTTTTATCGTAGTGAGTTTTCTTCTCCTGAGAGCAATTGCTCAGTAGAGCAGGCTTCCTCGGGAGGTGGCGGACTCTCCTCCTTTGGAGGTTTTCGAACAGAGGCTAGATGGCCATCTGACAGCAATGCGGATTCTGTGAACTAAGGCAGATCACGAGAAGGGAGGACAGGAAGGGCTGCCTCAGTGCTTAGTTCTCGTGGCCCTTTCTTACACGCCCAGGGAAATGCTGATCGCCACTTTGGGGTCAGGACGCAATTTTCTCCAGGCCAGTTTGGCCGGGGATCCTGGAGAGTGGGGTTTTTTTGTTTCCATTTTGCCCTCTTCATGGCATTGAGCAGGGGGCACGTGAGGTGTGGGGGAAGGTATTTGTGAATTTCCGGCATTGTGCAGGGGGTTGGACTAGATGACCCTGGAGGTCCCCTTCCAACTCTTAAGATTCTATGATGATGCAGCACATATGGCCAAGGTAGGTGGCCACCGAAAACAATAGGTCTTGCAAGAAAGGTCCCTAGACCCACAGGCCTCCTACTAAGTAACAAGGATTTGGCAGGGGGAGCATTGATTCCTTGGTGAAATTTCCACAAAGACCGCTGTATCTAATGCTATATCTGCTCCCAAACAAAAGCTCTACCCTGGGAGGCCGAGGGACTCTGCGTTGCCGGGAAGAAGTAATGTGATCCAGGCTGGATAGTGTTACTCAGATGGCTGTCTAAGCAACACTGGCCAGGGTGGGAGCCTTTGGGGGGGGGGGCTTTTCTCAGCTCCTGAATGAGGGGGGGAAGGTAGGGGGGGGGTTTGCCATCTGAGGCATGATCAGGAGGAGTCTACATTAGGAGGAGTTTAACCCCTGCCGTCATGGCAGTTGCAGAAGAAGAATGGTACATGGAAAGCCACGACAGAAATTTAAAGAACGGGTGAGCTAAAGGAACTGAGGAGGTGCAAAGATCTAGTGAGGGAGAAAGATGGCCTGTGTACTTGCCACCGGAAGGCCCAAGGAAGTCACCTAGCCAGATCTGAGTGGACGGCTTCAAGAGGGAATTAGATAAACAAATGGAGCAGAGGTCCATCAGTGGCTATTAGCCACAAGGTATAGATAGAAACTCTCAGTCTGGGGCAAGTGATGCTCTGGATTCTTGGTGCTTGGGGGGGGGGGCAACAGTGAGTGTGTGTGGGGTTTCTGGTGCCCTGGCCCCACTGGTGGACCTCCTGATGGCACCTGGTATTTTTGGCCACTGTGTGACACAGAGCGTTGGACCGGATGGGCCACTGGCCTGATCCAACACTGGCCTCTCTTATGTTCTTATGGGTGCGAGTGCCAAAGCTGCTATTGGGTGCGGAACTGAGTGTTCAAAAGCTGGGCTCGGCTATAACGAAAGCTTCTAGCCAAGCTTCTAGCCCCGATGAATGTAAACATAGGCCTGGAATTGTGCAGGCAACACATGGACACGTGAACCTGCTTATAGTGAGTCTTACTATTAGCCCGTCAAAGGTCAGTATTGTCTACTCGGACTGGCAGCGGCTCACCGGGATCCCGGACAGAAGTCTTTCACATCACCTCCTGCCGAATCTTTTCAGATGGTGAGGATTGAACCTGGGACCATCCGCATGCCAAGAGATGATCTAACCCTCAGGGAGAGGTCTTTCACATCACCTCCTGCCGAATCTTTTCAGATGGTGAGGATTGAACCTGGGACCTTCTGCGTCCCAAGAGATGATTTAACCCTCAGGGAGAGGTCTTTCACATCACCTCCTGCCGAATCTTTTCAGATGGTGAGGATTGAACCTGGGACCTTCTGCGTCCCAAGAGATGATTTAACCCTCAGGGAGAGGTCTTTCACATCACCTCCTGCCGAATCTTTTCAGATGGTGAGGATTGAACCTGGGACCTTCTGCGTCCCAAGAGATGATTTAACCCTCAGGGAGAGGTCTTTCACATCACCTCCTGCCGAATCTTTTCAGATGGTGAGGATTGAACCTGGGACCTTCTGCGTCCCAAGAGATGATTTAACCCTCAGGGAGAGGTCTTTCACATCACCTCCTGCCGAATCTTTTCAGATGGTGAGGATTGAACCTGGGACCTTCTGCGTCCCAAGAGATGATTTAACCCTCAGGGAGAGGTCTTTCACATCACCTCCTGCCGAATCTTTTCAGATGGTGAGGATTGAACCTGGGACCTTCCGCATGCCAAGAGATGATCTAACGCTCAGGGAGAGGTCTTCCACATCACCTACTGCCAGATCTTTTAACTGGAGATGGTGGGGATTGAACCTGGGATATTCCGCATGCCAAGAGATGATCTAACCCTCAGGGAGAGGTCTTCCGCATCACCTACAGCCAGATAGTTTAATTGGAGAAGTGGGGGGGGGATTGAACCTGGGACCTTCTGCGTGCCGAGCAGACGGTCTACCACTGAGCCACAGCCCCCCTCCCCTGTAGCAGGCTTCAAAGCCAAGGTGGGTTCAGTGGAATTTCCGGGGGTAAAAGGGGCAGAAACCAGAGTAAAGCAGGTACACATCTGTACAATCTATACAGGCTTCAGAATCGTTAAGCACAATCCTTACACATACGCCCCACACTTCCCAGCCCATTTGACAAGCTGCAACAGAACGTCCCAGACAGGTGGGAGTGCAGTTGGTGCCTGTATCTCATCTCCCTCTGCCCCACCTGCTCCCCCCGCCCGCCCGCCAGCTCCCCAAAGCATCGCGTCTCTCCCACTTTCCCTCGCTGCAAGGAATGCTGCTTTCTCCTGGCTGCCGCACAAGGCCCCCTTTTCATTTGCCTTGTGACAGCTTATTTGTCTTGTGAGTGGCTGCCCGCTTGGTGGGAAACATGATCCTCCACATGGGAAGAGGTAAGGGGGCAAGGCAAGGCGGCAGCCGTTCTGGTTTGGGGGCTGATTAGTCACCTGGCGGGGCCAAGAACAAAAGGGAGATAAAGCATTCACCGTGCAAGATCAACCAGCCCCTTGAAAGAGACGAAACGTCTTTCTCCGGGATTTTGAGAACCGGCGAAGAAACAGGGTTGGATTCCTTTTAAGTCTGAGGAAAGGACAGATCGAAAGAGTAGATTTTTTTTAAAAAAAAAATAATGCTATTTTGCTAACCTCATGGGTCACTAGAATAAGCTTGGAAAGTGTTTGGATGATGACTGCTGGGAAAGTCAAAAGCTGGAGAAGGGGGAGGGGCTGGGCAGGATTCTTAGGTACAAGCGGTGGCCACCAGTGTCCCCTCTAAGCTGAGTTAGTGTGAGCTAGCTCACAGATTTTTAGCCTCCGGCTCACCCATTTTTGTCTAAGCTCAGGAAGGATGGCTCTGGAGCAAACTAATTGATGCAGCAGCCAAATTGCTCGCTCACAACTTTAAGGCCAGAAGTTCACAAAGGAGAATTTTTGCTCACAAGACTCCACAGCTTAGGCCACCCGTGCGTGGCCAGTGGCGCAGAAGCAACCCGCTGCATCCAAGTGAAAAGTTGCAAAAAGGCGCAAACCCTGGATAGCAAACAGGGCAAGCTTGATGAGACATGGGCAGGAAGCAGGGCCTTTCCTCTTCTGCTCGTCTCCCCGTGCCCCCTTCTGTAGGGGGCATCTCACATTTCCCCACCCAGATGACCCCCTCGGCAGAAAAAGGTTTACCATCCAAGGGTGACGGCGGCAAAAGTCTCCCTTTCTCTCTCGCTCGCCTTGCACAAGTCGGCCAATGGCTGGCCACAGCTGCAGCCTGCGTGGGCTGGGCCTGTAACCGATACCCCCAGACATCTACTGGGGCCACTGTCTCTAGAGCCAGAAGACAGGCAGGAGTCCTGACGGCACAGAGAAAGAGAGAGAGAGAGAGAGAGAAAAGAAGGGGACATGGTCACTCCGGAGAGGAACTTGTCAGACAGAGGAATCGCTTCCCGCTCATCCTGTACACCTCTGCCGTAGCAGGATAGATCTCGTTCTCTTTCCAAAAAGAGGCAAAGCCGTAGCAAACAGGTTCTGCGGGAAAACCATCAGAACTGGCATTGCTTTTCCCAGTGGGGCCTTCTAACAGGTGTATCAAGTTTGTGAACCCTCCTAGGTTGGTTTTAAGAAGTTGCGCCGCTTTGGAGCTCCTCGCGAAAGGACGAACCCGTGTCCCCGTCAGCCATGAATTTCGGTTTCACCCAGGAGCAAGTGGCCTGCGTGTGTGAAGTTCTGCAGCAAGGGGGCAACATTGAGCGCCTCGGACGCTTCCTCTGGTCGCTGCCGGCCTGTGACCACCTGCATAAGAACGAGAGCGTCCTCAAGGCCAAAGCGGTGGTGGCCTTCCACCGGGGCAACTTCCGGGAGCTCTACAAGATCCTGGAGAGCTACCAGTTCTCGCCACACAACCATCCCAAGCTGCAGCAGTTGTGGCTCAAGGCCCACTACGTCGAAGCGGAGAAGCTGCGCGGCAGGCCACTGGGAGCTGTGGGGAAATATAGGGTGAGGCGCAAATTCCCCCTGCCTCGGACCATCTGGGATGGAGAGGAGACCAGTTACTGTTTCAAGGTAAGGCTCTCCAGCGTGATGCTTCCCTTGAAGGGTCTTGCAGATTTCTGGGTTGCAGGTGCAGAGTCCTCACCAGACTTTTGCCGAGCGCCCTGTGATCTATGGGCACAAAACCCACACGATTGTTCTTGCAAACGTTCACGGCTCGAGTTCTGCAAATAAGACCTTAAGCTGAGTGCTTGTATTTTGGATGATCAGTCTCCCCTAAACCAACTCCAGTGTTTCCCTCTCTCACCTTCTCTCCTCCTGGCGTGCTTTCTTTTTCCAGTCAGTTCAGAACGGCTCCACTGAAACACTCTTTTTCTTTTCCATCACGGTCTTAATGGGTCATACCTCTCCGTGAGCTTTCTGCAACGGCCCTCGCTGCCTTCTGCGTGGACACCAGATCCCCCCAGAAATACATTTAACATTCTCCGCCTCCTTCTATTATGTCTTCTCTCTTCTTTCCACAAAAGGCCTCTCTGCCACCTCATCCCTCATTCTCCCACTTGGTCTGTCTCCTTGCCCAGCCAACCAAAGCTGTGCTCTTCATTCTCCTTTTAAACTCCTCCCTGGCTGAAAAGGACAAAGTACGGATGTCTTTACTTGCTCCTATTCACCTGGTCACGCTTGCCCTACTTCCTCTGTCTCACCCTTGTCAAAGCTTACACTCTCAGTGCCTTGAGAGCCAGTTTGGTGTCACGGTTAGGAGCGGCGGGCTCTGAATCTGGGAGAACCGAGTTTGATTCCCCACTTCTCCATATGCAGTTGCTAGGTGACCTTGGGTCAGTCGCTGTTCTCTTAAGAGCAGTTCTCTCAGCCCCACCTACCTCACAGGCAGTGTTCCCTCTATGCTGAGGTAGTGTGAGCTAGCTCACAGTTTTTCAGCCTCCGGCTCACACACTTTCATCTCGGCTCAGGAAGGATGGTCCAGAGCAAACTAATTGATGCAGCAACCAAATCGCTTGCTCACAATTTTTAATGCCACTACTACTACCACCAACAACAACTATCTTGTGGCAATAACAGGTAATGGGATGGCCCATTATAAAGATCTGGCCCATTATAAAGATCTAGCCACAGTGTTCCGATGGATTAGTACCGCTGAAACGGGCTTTTGGGTAACATCTGTAGGTCACCATTTTGATGTGATTAACTGGGTAACATCACTGAGCACTTTATTATTGTTAAATATGCTGTTTTATCTGCTTTTATTGTTTTATATTGGCATATGTTGCCCTTGTCTGTGAGCCGCCCTGAGCCCGTTCGTGGGGAGGGCGGGATGGAAATACAATAATAAATATATAAAATAAATAAATAATGCCAGTAGCTCATAAAGTAGAATTTTTGCTCACAAGACTCCACAGCTTAGAGGGAGCGCTGCAGGGTACCTGTTGTGGGGAGAGGGAGAGGAAGAGGAAGGAGATTGTAAGCCGCTCTGAGACTCCGAGTGAAGGGCAGGGTATAAATCCAACCTCCTCTTCTTTTCTGAGGGGAAACCTATCATTTTTGGCTTCTCTTAGTCTTACACTGTTGGACTAGGACAAGGGAAACCCACTCCACCACAAAGCTCACTTAGCGACGTAATTAGCTCTGGGCGTAATTACTGCACAGGACTAGATTGGGGGGGGGGCAATGAATGCCCACCACCTGAGCTCCTTGGAGGAATGGCAAGGTACAAATCTCGAAAAGTAATAAATGCTGAAGTATCACGTAGATCAATGACTTGATTTTTTTTTTAAAAGCAGTATCTTGACACATTTTTCACACACACACACCTTCCCCCACAAAACACCTTAGTCGCTTCTCCTTCTCCCTCTCTCCTAAGAAACTTTGTGCCTCTAAGAGCTTTCTAGACGGGCAGCAACATGCATCTATTTCACGTGGCCTCTGGTAACGAAGATGAATTTACCTGGCCACAGCACGTCGTTTTTAACTGCTACAGCTATGTGACGTTTGCTGAAGTATTGGTCATTTTGCGTTTTTGCATTTTGTGTGATTTTAAAACATCGGTGTCTTTCCCCCCTTCTTCGAGTAAACCACTTTAAGCGAGGGAAGAAGCAGCAGATAAACATCCAATAAATAAGTAAAATTGTTTATTCTCCCAGGCTTTCCCCTGAAGTACCTTTTTGGCGCTTTCTGCCTCCAGCCAGTGTTCCCTCTAAGCTGAGTTAGTGTGAGCCGGCTCGCCGGGTTTTTTAGCCTCCGGCGCGCACATTTTTGTCTTCGCTCAGGAAGGCGGGCTCCGGAGCAAGCTAATTTATGCAGCGGCCAGATCACTCACTCACGACTCTAATGCCAGTCGCTCGCAAAGTAGAATTTCTGCTCACAAGACTCCACAGCTGAGAGGGAGCATTGCCTCCAGCTACCCAGCGGCCGCCATTTCAGCCTTGCTTCTTATTTATCAAGCTCTGTCCCCTCCTTAAGCCCTTTTGTGTGTGCTGTCAAATCATTCCACTTATTGTGACCCTATGAATTAACGAGGTCCAAAACTGTCCTGTCCTTAACAGCCTGGCTCAGGACTCCGTATTCTTATTCTAATTGTATAACCTCGTAAGTGAACCTGGGTCACTTCCACACTCTGGGAAGTTGGTGCCTGTATCTCTGGTAGGGCTTTTTTTGTAGCAGGAACTCCTTTGCATATTAGGCGACACACCCCTAAGGCAGCCAATCCTCCAAGAGCTTACAGAGCTCTTCTTACAAGGGCTACTGTAAGCTCTTGGAGGATTGGCTACATTAGGGGTGTGTCGCCTAATATGCAAAGGAGTTCCTGCTACAAAAAGAGCTCGTAGCCAGGCACATATCTGGGCACTTAGATAAATTATATAGACCGTAATAAAATTAATAGCAGAACATCTACTGAGATTTTATTGTTTCAATGTTTAGGGCCTTTGAACAGAGATAAGAAAGAGACTGGTTTGGGACAGGAGGTTTTTAAAGAGAGGCGCGATGGCCATCTGACAGCAATGCTGATTCTGTGAACTTGGGCAGATCACGAGAAGGGAGGGCAGGAAGGGTCGCCTCAGTGCTTAGCTCTTGTGGCCCTTTCTTGCACGCCCAGGGAAATGGCTGGTCGCCACTTTGGGGACAGGGAGCAGTTTTTCTCCAGGCCAGTTTGGCTGGAGATCCTGGAGGGTTTTTGTCATCTTCTGGGAGTGGAACAGGTAACTGAGTGTGTGTGTGTGGGGGGGAGGGGTATTTGTGAATTTCCTGCATCGTGCAGGGGGTTGGACTAGATGACCCTGGAGGTCCCTTCCAACTCTATGATTCTAGGGCTGTATGTCCCCAAGAAACATAAAGGAAGGGAGAGAAAACATTAGGTTTTCACTATTGGTCCCCTTCTGGAAGGGGTTTTTAAATCCCTTTGATATCTATACGAGAGGCAGGAATTTGTTATGTTTCCTCACACTTCTGTCGAATTTCTTCCCAATATTGCTTGTTGAAGGGCGCAGCAGTGCAACGAAGAGGAAAAGCGAAGGCGAGCCCCCGTGGATGTCTGGCACAGAGAAAGCTGCTGCTTTCACATACACACACACATAAAGGAAATCCCTCCTTTCTAGTTTTTAAATGGTCTTCCCTCTCCCCTACCCCTGTGTCCCCCAGTCTCACCGAGAGCACTCAGGGACCGTCTCCTTCGCCTCCCACCAATTACAGAAATCCAGTCAAGCCTTCAGGGTTCCAGAAACGAGACATACAATTTAAAGAATATGAATTAAAGAGAGGAGCAGGACTCTGAAGAGGCAGCATAGAAATATTCTAAAACCAGGGGTCATTTCCTGCAGGAGCGCACAGGAGCGGAGCTCCGGTAGTAAAGAGCCCAGGGGGCGGGCACATGCAACAAGCCCCGCCCCCTGCTCCCAGCAGCCCTCAGTCAGAGCAAAAAGCAGCCGGGTACGTTGCAGAGCCCCCCCCCCGGGCCCCCAAACAGTCCAGTGGCACCCTTAAGACCGAGTTTTATTCAGGTACGAGCTCTCCCTCCTCTGTGAGGACAGATCTGCATGCCCCCCCCAATAGCTAGCAATCCAAAACAGTCCAGTGGCACCTTTAAGACCGAGTTTTATTCAGGTACGAGCTCTCCCTCCTCTGTGAGAACAGATCTGCACGCCCCCCCCCAATAGCTAGCAATCCAAAACAGTCCAGTGGCACCTTTAAGACCCCGTTTTATTCAGGTACGAGCTCTCCCTCCTCTGCGAGGGCAGATCTGCACGTTCCCCCTCCACCCAATAGCTAGCAATCCAAAACAGTCCAGTGGAGTCTGAGCGGCGGGTGTTGCCTTCTGACACACTTCCGGTGATGTCAGGGGGTGTGGCATATGCGAATGAGTTATGCGAATGAGTTATGCGAATGAGCTCCTGCACCTCTTTATCTACAAAATGACCCCTGTCAAAACAAACGAAATAAAAGCCAGGGTTGATGGTTCTTTGGGAGCACAGTGAAGAAGAGAACACTGTCATTTGCCCTCTGCTGGGTACAACATCCTATCAGCTGTACTAAAGATGCATTGGATAATTTTTTTAAAAGGCCACTTTGGAAGATAGACTCTATGGCATTTTACCCCACTGAAGCCCCTCTCCTCCCCAAACCCCACTGTCCTTGGGCCTCACCCCCAAAATCTCCTGGTATTTTCCCACTTGGAGCTGGCGACCCTCTCCCCCTGGGCACCGTGTGGGGGACTCGTAATCTAGTTGCACTAGCTGAAAAGCAAAGGTACAGGAAGGTCAATGTGTGTCACATTTTTATTCTTCCTCTCCTCCGAGGGAACACACACGTTTCTCCCCTCCTCCATTTCATCCTCACCACCACCATGTGCTGGAGGTTAAACTGAAAGTGCGTAATGAATCCAAGGTGAATCAATGAGATAAAGAGTTAGAGGCACTCAGTTTAAAAGGGGGGGGGGGGAAGAGAGAATTAAGGATGGCGATGATCAGAATTATGACAGGTACATACAGGGAGATGCCTTTCTCCCTCCAATGAATCAATCTTAGCATCATAGAATCACAGAGTTGGAAGGGGCCATAGTTCTGATAAGAGCTGTCCTTGAAAAAGTGCAGTTTCTGTCAGAGCTCTCTCAGCCCCACCTACCTCACAGGGTGTCTGTTGTGGGGAGGAGAAGGGAAAGGAGATTGTCAGCCGCTCTGAGACTCCTTTGGATAGTGAAGGGCGGGGCATAAATCCAATCTCCTCCTCCTCTTCTTCTTCTTGTTCACATCTGCCCACTTTCCCACTGTGTCCAGATCTTGTTGAATTCTATCTTTATCTTGAGTTCTGTTTTTTAAATGCACAGCTGTACTGATTCAGCCTACCCTCCATAGCTGGTTTAATGCTCAGTTCGATGCCTCTCTTCACACCCTTTGCTTTCAACTCAGGAGAAATCCCGGAGTGTGTTACGGGAATGGTACATCCACAACCCCTACCCATCCCCTCGCGAGAAGAGGGAGCTGGCTGAAGCCACTGGTCTGACCACCACCCAGGTCAGCAACTGGTTCAAGAACCGACGCCAGAGGGACCGTGCTGCTGAGACCAAGGAGAGGTGAGGTTGCCTCCCAGCCAACACGGGCTTGAAATGCATTCTTTTGCTAGGGCTAGACTTTCCCACTTGAAAACTCTGAGAAAGGACGGACATTTTCTGTAGCAGCGAAGTGCCCTGCTGCAACAGTTTCTCTTCTCTGCCAGCAGGGGTGAAATGACCCGGTACTCGAGTGAAGCACAGGCCAGGAAAAGAAAAAGGTCAGGGTGGGTCAGAAGACCAGGGATCTCGGGCTCAGGGCAGGGGTCATTTCGTAGAAAAAGAGGTGCAGGAGCTCATTAGCATAACCAGGGCTCTAGTCGGGGGGGAGCTCTCAGGTACGGAGCTCCGGAAGAGAACCTCTAGGGGGCGGGGCGGTCACGTGGTGAAGCCCCGCCCCCTTCTTTACCCCGCCCTCTGCTTCGATCCTCATTCCGTTTGGGAATGAGGATGAAGCAGGAGGGTAAGTAGCCGGGCCTTCTGACACACTTCCGGTGATGTCAGGGGGCGTGGCATATGCAAATAAGTTATGCTAATGAGTTATGCTAATGAGCTCCGGCAGCTCTTTTTCTACAACAAGACCCCTGAGCATAACTCATTAGCATAACTTATCTGCATACGCCACACACCCTGACATCACCGGAAGTGTGTCAGAAGGCAACACCCACCGCTCAGGCTCCACTGGATGGTTTTCGATTGCTAGCTATTTTTTTGGGGGGGGGGAATGCGCAGATCTGCCCTCAGAGAGGAGGGAGAGCTTGTACCTGAATAAAACCTGGTCTTAAAGCTGCTATTGGACTGTTTTGGATTGCTAGCTATGGAGGGGAGGGGAATTCGCAGATCTGCCCTCACAGAGGAGAAAGAGCTTGTACCTGAAGGCGGGCGGGGGGGCACTGCAAATTACCTGGCTGCTTCTTGCTCCTCGTGGCCCAATTGAGGGCTGCTAGGAGCAGGGGGTGGGGCTTGTTGCATGTGCCTGCCCCCTGGGCTCCTTACTGCCAGAGCTCCGCTCCTGTGAGCTCCCGCAGGAAATGACCCCTGGCTCAGGGTATAAGTTAGGGGTACCCAACCTTTTTGACCCTGTGGGCACGTTTGGAATTCTGACATGGCATCATGGGCATGGCAAAAAAAAAAGCTGTCGCAGGAGGCGGAGCCAGCCACAAAATTATTGCCACAGCTTCATTTCAGTAACACAGTGTAGATCAGGCCCGTAGTCAGGATGTTGTGGCTTGTGGGGCAATTTTTTTTCCCTAGTGGGGCGGGAGTTCTCAGTGCAGAGAGAAAAGCCATTTAGCCAATAGAAAGCGGTTACCAGGATAGATCTCTAAACTGCAAGCTGTCAGCCACTTTAGATGACAGTTCTCTGCTGCTGCAAGTTAATCACTTCCGTCGGCCCAAGCAACAGTTCTGATAACAAGCCAGCAGGTGGGGGAGGGGTGACTTCTCTAGTCAAGAAAGCTGAAACTTAGGCAGAAAAACACTCTGACAGGAGACCAGTTTCTTGACACAGAGCTAGAAGGGATCCTAGAGGTCACCCACTCCAACCCCCTTGCTCAGTGTGGGACTTAAGTCAACGACAGCACCACACTCTGCTTAAAGGAGCACACACCTTTAAAAATGTTTTTAAAATGATTGGGGGGGGGTGAATTTACAGGAGAAATACTTGTGGGGCTGTGCCTTTAAGAAAGGGGCCGAGCCCCCCAAAGCCCCATCGTAGCTATAGGCCTGGTGCGGATCCTTGTGCTGTGGTGACAGCTGCTGCCAAAGCAACATTTAAAAAATCCGCACAGCCAATCAAATCTCCCAATAGTCAACCAGAAGCCTTGCTGGGAAAGAGCCCTACCTGGCCCCATCCACTTCCTGAAAACATGTGGTGGCCGCCACGGCTCTCACAGGCACCATGCTGGGGACTCCTCGTATCGGTGCATAAGAAACGGAACCCTTGAGGCTCTGGGAGGAAGAGGAGTGGGGGCCCTTTCAGTAACAGATACAGGAAGGAGCTCCTTCTTGCTTGCCTACACATCCGCCAGTTCGGTGTAGTGGTTAAGTGTGCAGACTCTAATCTGGGAGAACCGTGTTTGATTCCCCACTCCTCCACTTGGACCTGGCTGGATGACCTTGGGCAAGCCGTAGTTCTGATAAGAGCTGTCCTTGAAAAAGAGCAGCTTTAAGACCAAGTTTTATTCAGGTACAAACTCTCCCTCCTCGGCGAGGACAGATCGGCACATCCCCCCCCCAATAGCTAGCAATCCAAAACAGTCCAGTGGAGCCTGAGCGGTGGGTGTTGCCTTCTGACGCACTTCCGGTGATGTCAGGGTGTGTGGCATATGCAAATAAGTTGTGCTAATGAGTTATGCTAATGAGCTCCTGCAGCTCTTTTTCTACGAAATGACCCCTGCTTACAGCTGTCTGGCTCTGTGATGCCCCCTCCCTCTGCTTGCAACAGTTTTCCCCTCTCTGTTCATCATGCCATCACATCCCCCCCCCCCTCTCCATATTCTCCTGGAAAGCTCTTCCTGGACCACCTTAGCCTCACCCGTGTCATCTTACAATTCACTGGCTGCTTCTTTAGCCAGTCCTCCTTGAAAGGGATGTGTTTGTTCCAGTGTTAGAGAGAGAGAGAGAGAGAGAGAGAGAGAGAGACAGAGACAGAGACAGAGACAGAGAGAGACAGAGGTTGTGAAAGAAGAAGTAGAACACCTACTGAGATTTTATTCTTTAAATATTTAGGGCCTTTGAATGGAGATAAGGAAGAAACTGCTTTGGGACTATATTTCCTCAGGAAAAATGAAGGAAGGGAGAGAAAACTTTCAAATTTTCGCTATTTGCCCCTGTCTGGCTGGACTTTTGGTGCCTCTGATAGCCATATGAGAGGCAGGAGTTTGTTGTTTTTCCCAGTTATCTGCCCGGTATCGCTTGTTGAAAGGGACAAAAAAAAATGGTAGAAAACGGGGCAGGGGGAGATTGCAAAAGACAGCAAGGGAGAAAGGTATTTCAAAAAGTGGGTACGCACACAAAAGCTCATACCTTGAGTAATTGGTCTTAAAGGTGCCACTGGACTCTTAAATTTGTTCAGCGAGGGAGAAAGACGGGCGTGCACAGTTTTAAAAAGGGTCTGCCTCACCCTCCAGTTACAGGCAAGTCCCAAGTCTGAAACAGACGAAGGCCACTGGTCTGACACTTTTAAGGTAAAGGTAAAGGTTCCCTTGCTCGAAAGCCAGTCGAATCTGACTCTAGGGTTGCGGTGCTCATCTCCGTTTCAAAGCCAAAGAGCCAGCGCTGGCGAAGACGTTTCCGTGGTCATGTGGCCGGCATGACTCAACACCAAGGCGCACGGAACGCTGTTACCTTCCCACCGAAGTGGTACCTATTTATCTACTTGCCATTTCTTGCTTTCGAACTGCTAGGTTGGCAGGAGCTGGAACTAGAGACAGGAGCTCACCCTGTCTTGCGGCACCCGGGTCTCGAACTGCTGAACTACTGCCCTTCCACAGCCTGCAGTTCAGCGTCTTAACCACTTGAGCCACTGCAGCTCAACTGACACTTTTACTAGCTCACATATCCAGCTAAAGAGAAAGCTGTACTCCTCAGGAACCCATTTGTCTGCGTGGCACCCCACCAGGATCCATTCCTTAGACCAGCACCTGGGGGCGGTATTGTCTTCTTCTTCTTCTTCTACTTCTACTTCTTCTTCCTGCAGGGAGACCGGCGAGGGCGGCGCTCTGAAGGAAGGAAGGGGCCTGCCTCGTGACAGGCACGTTATCCCCAGCTCGGATGATGAGAGCTCTCCCCTCGATAGCCCTGCAGCTCATGCCTCCAGCCCCTCGCTGCTCTACTCCGGCCTCCCTCTCTCCGCTCAGACAGGAAACTCCACTCACGGCGTCCAAAGGATGGATTTCCTGCAGCATCACCAACCACTCCACAACAGCCTGCTAGGGCCCCTCACTTCTAGTCTGGTAGACCTCGGATCCTGAAAGCGAAGAGCCGAGCACATCTGTCTCCCTCCCCTGACGGATCGCTCCAGTTTACCCTAAAACCTTCCCATACTTCTGGCTTCTCTTTTGCTCAAAAGCACTCCTCTGTTACAAGTTTCTGTTCCTGGCTTATTAGAAGTAGGACGGGGCCACCCTTGCCTTTTCGCCGCCCTCCGAAATCCAGGCACGAAAATGGTCACTAGAATTCTGAAAGTATAAAAGCAAAAGCCTTAGGGAGACGCAGAACCGCACGCTTTCTGACGCAGAACCAGAATAGGGAGGGAGGTGGTCAGCATGCGGTGGAACTCCTACCCACGGCATGATCCGTAGCAGGCCTGTAGCTATTGTGGGGCCCACAGGGCCTGGCCCCCTAGAGGTTTCTATGGGCCCTCCCCAAACCTTGGCTCCCCCCCCGGGGCCCCCTTCCCCACACTGCCTGTCGACAGGGAGGACGGGGGCAGCACAAACGGCAAAGGCAGTGAACATAAAAGGTGCAGGGAGAAGCCTCCTTCTCGGGCTTCCACGAGAGCCTCGAGAGCCTCACTGCATCGCCATCCGGCAGCAAGTAAGCCAGGCAAGGCAAAGAGGCTGGCAGCTGCCTCCTCTGGCCCCGGCCAGGCGTGCTTGGCTGGGCTCCAGCGCACCAACAAGCCTGCATGCGGCGCCTTCATGGCCGGCCCAGCCACTGCAAGCCTCACCTCTCCCAGCCCAGGGAAGGAGCCGAGGGTGGAGGTCAGGCTGTCTCTGGTGCTGCGCTGCCGTGGGAGGGGGAGCTGGGGCTCTTTATGGAGGGAGGGAGGGAGCCGGATGCTCTGCAGGGAAGACCTGCCCTTGCAGGGGGGTGGGGAGGGAAGCTGCGGCCACTGGGCATTACCCCATCTTGCCCTGGAGCCTGGGGGGGTGCAGAAGAAGAAGAAGAAGAGATTGGATTCACTACCCAAAGGTGTCTCAGAGCGGCTTACAAACTCCTTCCCCTCCCCCTCCCCACAACAGACACTCTGTGAGGTCGGTGGGGCTGAGAGAGCTCTCGACAGAAACTGCTCTCTTTCAAGAA